AGGACCTATGCAACAAGAGTTGTAGCTTTTGGGTCTGATAAGGTCAGTGAAATCCCCTCAGGATTTATCCTGAAATCCTGTGCCTCAGATTGTAGATCCTTTGTCAGTGTCAGCCATGTGGATGGGTCACGACCATTGCTTGGCCAGTGTGCCCTCTGACAGAGTGAATTTTAGAGAAATATTTCTGAAATGAATACATAGCATGAGAATGATTTTTTTTTTTCCTCAGGCTGCCTTAAGGGTTGGTCTGGTAAGGCAGGTAGAGGTAGGGAACTCAAACCCTTGCGCTTGCCAGGCAAGCGCTTATTCTACTGAGCTATCTTCCCAGCCCCAGAGATGGGGATTGAACCACGGTATCCTGCACCTGACTGCATTTGCATGAGGAGGCACGTAAACAACTGAGCTAAGGGGCAGGCCCCCAGAAATTTGAGAAGGAGTTGTTTTTTGGCCACCTTAAGGGCAGGTCTGGTACAGTTTCTGGAGCTGGGAATTGAACCACAGTGCTATGCACCTGCCTGTATTTGCCCAAGCGGCACTTTAAACAGCTGAGCTATCCGGCAAAGCCCCCATAGCATGAGATTAATAATAGATTGCACATTGTAAATAAATTATTTATAAACTTAAATGAATGTAACAATAAAATTGTCTAAAATAAAAATGAAGAAAGAATTTACAGATCAGTCATATAATAGTTCATTCTGTGCCACAATCAAAAAACTTATGTTCATATAATTACAATTCTCAAAGTAGAAAGGAGTAGGCAATAAATATTTAAAGATTTAAAATTTCTGAATTTAGTTGAAATTATAGCACCACATTTCCAAGAAAAATGAACCTTTTGCACAAGAAATATGAATAAAATCATATCAATATGCACAAAAATGAAATTGCCCAAAACTAACTGTAAAGAAAAAAATCATTAAAGTATATACACAAAAATATTAGCTATGAAAGAACAAAATTAAATAGCATCATATTCACATTAGGAAAACAAAGAGTAAATGGGTAAGAAACTAGACTAATTAATTCAAAGGATCGAAAAAAAAAGATCTCTCTTCATTAAATTTTATACTTAGCAAACATACCTTTGAAAACTAAAAGTAAAATATTTTCCAGTTGTATAAACTCGAAATACTCTAATATCTCCAGATGTAGCATATAGAAAATAACAAAGATCATAATCCAGAAAGCAAGAGAAGTTGCTGTATGGTCCTGGATAAAGAATAAAGAGCTCTCAAAATGGTAGTTATGCTGGACTATATAAAATATAGTTATATTAGATGAACCCATTTAAAAGGTCAATGAAGATTTCCACAAAACAGTATCAATCTTATGTCAGGTTATATACATATTTTTTCATATATATGTGTGTGTGTGTGTGTGTGTGTGTGTGTGTGTGTAAACGACAAGGAAGAAGTAATATAATCAATGGAAAATGGAAATATACTTTTTAAAGTTTCTAATACCAGGAGAAAATATCATATCAGAGTACTCACATAGTATTTGAATTGGTTAATGTATACAAGAATATCAACTAAGAAAAAGTTTTCATGTTAGTAAAGAATTACTAAGAATAAAACATAACATAAATACTGGAATGGCAAATACATGACCAGCACTTCTAACAGTTTGGGGATAGGATATTGCACAAAGTTCTAGTATGTCATGGACCTGGACAGTGTCCATGACGCTTACTGGTGGCCAGGTGTCACTTGTGGGACTGAGCTACTGCTATTTCCTTGATATCTGCCCTGTAGACTCAGATAGAATCATGACCCATCGGGTACAAGAGAAGTCCATTTGTAGAGTATGCTGATGGAAATATTTTGCTGCTATATACAAAAGAATAATTGAAAGACTGCTGTTATATACCTCTTTTTCTCCTGGGTTTAATTGTTTGCCCTATTTGGTGGGTTCTTTCTGTTATTGTTCATGGAGCTGTGGTCATTTTGATCCCTCTCTAGAATATCTTTTAGTAGTCTGTGTAGGCTTGGCTTTGTCATCGTGAAATTCTTTAGTTGTTCTTTGTCATGGAAGTATTTCACTTCTCCATTAAACTTGAAAGAGAGCTTTGCAGGGTATATCAGTCTGGGTTGGAATTTGTTTTCTTGTAAGACTTGAAGTATTTTGCTCCATGCTCTTCTTGACTTGATGGTTTGTGAAGAGAAATCTGCCGTTATTCTGATGGGTTTTCCTTTAAATGTGATCTGTTTCTTTTCTCTAGTGGTTTTTAGTATACTGTTCTTGTGCTGAATTTTTGGGATTTTGATTATTATATGTCTGGGTGTGATTTTAATTGGGTTGATGTTATTTGGAGTTCTACATGCATTGGTTACCTGAATGTCAGATTGTTTGCCCATATTTGGAAAGTTTTCTCCTATTCCTTCTGCCATATTCTTTTTATATAATTTGTATTGACTCCTTCTTTCTCATTGATGCCTATTAGTGTTATGTTGTTCAACTTTGCATCATCTTGCAGATGTTGAATTTTTTTCCTGCATCCTAGTTATTTTTCTTTTCTTTTTCTTTCTTTTCTTTTCTTTTTCTTTCTTTTTTTTTTTTTTTTTTTCTTTTCAGAACCGGGGATTGAACTCAGGCCCTTGTGCTTGCTAGGGAAGCGCTTATTCCACTGAGCCATCTCCCTGGCCCCTCCTAGTTGTTTTTAAGAAATCTTTTTTTCCCATAAATTTATTGAGAAACAAATAGCAATGAGACAGTTTCAAACCAAACTGGTAGAACAGTTTCAATAATTAACACATTGTATACATTCTTCCTAGTGGTTGATTGCTGTACAAGATGCAGACATGGTATCCTATTTACAAACACCATTAGAACAAATCCCTCTATTCATTAAGAGAACGTAACTGTATATCGATCCTAGCCATTTGAATACACAGATACAAAATGGACATTCATCTGCATCCCCTTTTTGTTGTTAAGTTCCGTTATTTGATAACTATTCTTTTTTTTTTTTTCGGAACCGGGGATTGAACTCAGGCCCCTGCGCTTGCCAGGGAAGTGCTTATTCCACTGAGCCATCTCCCCGGTCCCAAGAAATCTTTTCTTACTTTTTCGCTAGCTGCAATGGTGTCTCTAAGGTGTGAAAGTCTATTTTCACTTTCATTCAAATGGTTTTGCCAGCTTGTGATTGAGGTTTTAATTTCCTGCATAGCACTTTGAATCTGCTTCATGCATTCTATTTCTTTCCTATATTGCTCATTCAAGGATTTTAACATTTTTATATTGTCCTCTATTTTTATCAGTGTCTTCTTTACAAGCACTCAGTATTTCATTCATTATAATTATCATTTCATTTTTTCCTTCAGAAATTATTTCTGATCTGATTTTCTCTATGCCTTTCCAAAGTTGTTTCTTTACTTCAGATGCTATTATTTTAGAGATTTCAAGTGTGTGCTTTCCCATTTCTTCTATGCTATTGTCTCCTGCATTTGCTCTGGGCCTAAGAATGCATTTTGCTTCTTCTCTTTGTCATTGTATATAGCACTGTCTTCTGACCTTTAGTGTAGAGCTTTGGTACAGTTATTACCTTAGCACCAGGTCTGGATCTACGAACTCATCCAGGTGGGTGTGACTTTGGTCTGGCTGCTGTGCTCCACTTCTTCCTGTTGCAGCCCTTGGAGGTGAACCCTCTGTGCCACTCTGGCAAGATGTTCTGCTCCTGGATCAGCTGGGTGGGTCTTGCTTCTAGCCTCTCTGCAGGGAGTTCTGCCCCAGGGTTCCACACCAGGCCTGTCTGATGGATGAAGTTCCACTCACACGCTGGGCCTGGGCTCTGGCTCGAATGAGGATCCAGTGGATTCCAGGTGGTCTCACTTACATGCCAGGACTGGGCTCTGGCTTGAATGAATAGCTGGTGGGCCCCAGGTGGTTTCACTCACACCTGTGTCCCAATTTAGAGTATGTTTTAATGTTTTTTTTCTCCTTCTCTTCCCTCTCCCCTCCAACACAGGTGTCCACCTCTCCCTATGCCCAGTATGGTGCCTGGGTAGGTGGCTCCATCTTGGCCTCCCTGTCAACCTTCAAGGACATGTGGGTCACCAGCAGGGAGTACAAGGATGTGGGCGGCTCCATCATCAATAGAAGAAGCTTCTAAGTTGGGGCTCCCGGAGTCCCCACCATCTTTTCCATCAACACCACATCCAGGCCAACCTTCAGTGAAATCAATCCATGTTTAGGATCAACTCATGTGCAAGACCCTTCCTCCCCAGATGTCAATAAAAATGAAATAGGGATAAACCCGTGTCTGTCTGAATTCACAGCATCTAGCGACTTGCACATTATTGCAGAGGGAATTTCTGGTCCTCCCCATGTACTAGTCAGGATGGCTCAGGGACACTGCTGCCATCATAAACATTCCCAGGTAGCAGAAACATAAACCGAGTCTGCCCCTCTCTCCTGCTTCCTGTCCCCTTTAAGTTGACAGACCCTCCCCGCATCCTTCTGCTCCAAACTTGCTAGCAGAGTAGACAGGCCACTTGCGGCACTGGCACTCAGGGTGTGTGTCTCAGTGCATTTTTGGTTGCTTTAAAACATACCTGAGGGGCTGGGGAGATGGCTCAGTAGAATAGGGCCTGAGTTCAATCCCCAGTTCCGCCAAAAAAAAAATTAAAAAAAAATAATTAAAAAACCCCATACCTGAGATCTAGCATTTTATGAATGACAGAAGTTTATTTAGCTCTCAGTTTTAAAGGCTGGAAGTCAAAGAGCCTGGTGCTGGCACCTGATGAAAAGACTTTTTGCTGAGTCGCAGTGTGGTAGAGGGCAACAGAGGGTGAGATAGGGCAAGCTAGCTCAGGTCTCCCCTCCCCTTTTGTAAAGCTGCTGGTGCCTCATGACTTCATTGAATTCTGATCACCTCCCAAAGGTCCCACCTCTTATTGCCATTAATATGTGGATTTGAGGACTAAGTCCCCTACACCTGAGCTGTTAGGGGACCCAATGAAACACCATGGCAGGAGTTTGAGTGTATGAGTCTTCTAGTGGGTCTTACATCAACCACTACATGCTGGGGCTCAGAAGGAAGACAAGACATATGTCACAATGAATTGTCCACACAGACAGCAGACAGGTCTCTCTCTCTTTCTCTCTTTCTCTCTCTCTCTCTCTCTCTCTCTCTCTCTCTCTCTCTCTCTCTGTCTGTCTCTCTCACACACACACACAGGAGAGCCCAGTGAGTGTCTTTCTGTTATAGGACTACTAGCATGCCCACATGAGATCAGGTTGGTGTTGGCATAAGAAGGGTTAATATAGAGATGTGCTAAATAATCTGCAGGGGATGTGCAAAGAAGAAAAAGAAAATAGGGCAGCAATAGCTGCGGGAGTAACCAAGAATACTTGGTACTGAAGGACACCCTGTTTTTGTGTCCTTGCTCCCAGATGCCTAGCAGGTTCTCACATATAGCCTAAACATTAATCTCGGATACATACGGTGGGCTCTTGTTATGTTCACTTAAAGTAACCTGAAGGCTGAGACTCAAGATATATAAAAATAAACTCCGAAAGTGGGTGGCAGGCTTTTTGTGCTAGCTCTCACTTTGCTTGCATTGAATGTCTGTGTTATTGTTTGTGGCCCTCGCCCGTGAGTCTTTCCCAACAAGTGATGCTGAAACCCGGGACTCCCAGAAGCAGAATGTGGCTTTGTCCCCTCAGTCTTCCCATCTGTGAACGACTTATGGTGCCCCTCATCATCTTCGGATTCTACTATGCATTAGTATGGGGCAAAATTTTTCTACAGCCTGGGTTGCTCATTGTACAGCACTTTCATTTTCGCTGCACCGAGATAGATCTTACTTGTTCTACCTCTGACTTAAATCGCTTGCTTAAGAAAACAGATGAATGCTGCTCTTGGTATCCCAACACGAGCTCCCTACAAATTACAGATTGGGAAAAAAATTGGGTGTATCTTACATAAAGCCCCTAGAGCCCCCATACAAATACTTAAAACTTGGCACCTATGAGGAGATGCCATTGAACGATTTGGGGTTCCACAAAATAAAACATCAGTGGATACACCTCCCACTATGACTAATAAAAAAAAACTGTCCAAAAACAGGAGCCAAAAATAACAGCTATATCCACATCTCCAGCTCTACTAATTGATATTGCTCCTCCTTACCTGGATTCACAGGTTTGGCCCACCTGTGACAATTGGGTTAGGGAAGCCCTAAAGGAAGGAGATGCTTCTATTCTAGCATTATGCCCAATTGTTGGAAGACCAGGACACGAAACACTCCCTTATTGTGTGTTCAAAGAGTTTAAAAAGAGCTATCCATGAGAATGACACATGTAGTCCTTACAGCACTAATTTATTAGGAGACATTGCATTTGGCTACAAACTTACCCAAAAGCTACAACAGCTGTTAGGAAATATAAACTGGCTACACTCCTATTATCCCACTGACATACAAACAGTAAGTCCACTCTTTCAACTGCTCTCTTCTTTCACCTCTGTCTCACAGACACTACCTATCTCTTCTTCTGTCAGGCAGGCTCTATTATACCTTAATTCTCCGCTAGACCTTCATTTTGTAGATCGCACTCCTTTAAAGGAGGAGATACGTCATTTTATTTTGATATCTCATCAATCATACTATATAGGAGTATTGGCTCAACATTATAACAATAAATGATATTTTGTCAGATGGCCTCACACAGCTCACTCCATAAAGAAGACCTTATATAGCCCTGCCAGTCAGATTGCTGACCTGGTGGAGCGTGCGATCAGACGAGCCATACATTTGATTTGCTATATCAACCCTACGGTTTCCTGTGGAAAAGATATTCATCACGCCTTTTTGGGTGATGACCGGTATCTATTTGTTTTCATTACAAGTCTCTTCATATATAGTTCTCCTTACTCCATGATACCCACTTGTCAAATCTACAAAAAACACTTCCAACCTTTTCTTTTCGCCCTTCCATGATTCTGTCAGATCAACCCATTCCAGGACTCACAATATATACTGATGAAAATGAAACTAAGGGAGTAATAGCTTGGCAAATAAATCAAACACGGCATCATAGATACACACTCCCTCATGCCTCCTCACAACAAAATGAAATGGCAGCTATTTTATTGGCTCTCCAATCATTTGACAATCAACCTTTACATATCATTTCTGACAGTGCCTATGCCTGCTATGTGGTGCAACACATTCCAGATGCCGTCATATCTTCTGCTCTTCATCCTCCATCATATTCTTTGTTTATTTCCCTACAAACTCTACTGTGGTGCTGCTCATCTCTCGTATGTATTTGTCATGCTAAATCACACCTTAAACTACCTGACCTCATTTCATAGGGCAGTAATTATGCTGACTCTTTATTACCTTTGTTTATAGACCCACTTACCAGTCATCCATTCTTTCACCAAAATGCTCGTTCTTTACAGAAACAATTTCACATTCCTTCAACACAAGCTCAGAATATTGTTCCATCATGTAATCAGTGTGTCCCTAATTTTCTTTCCTCCTTTGAACCAACCCCAGAGGTTTAAAGATCAATGAAATATGGCAAATGGATGTTACTCATTGTCCTCCTTTAGCTCCTTATTCTTATCTACATGTCAGTATTGATCCATATTCACAATATGTTTGGGTCACTGCCCATAAAGGAGAAAGCACAAAGCAAGCTATTAAACATATTCTCGCTGCTGTTGCAGTTATGCTTAAACCAATAGAATTAAAAGCAAACAATGCCTGCTTATGCTGCTTGTGCTTCTGCCACATTTTGTTCACAATGGGACATTGTTCACAAAACAGGAATTCCACATAATCCCACCAGTCAAGCAATAGTAAAACGTTTACATCATAAATTAAATGAGGGGCTTTGCAAATGCTTCTATCCATCCTCTCAGTCATTTTTTGCCAACCATGGTCAACCTCATCGTGTTCTTCGATATGGCCGACAGCGAGCCCTTGGGCTGCTTCTCTTTCAAGCTGTTTGCAGACAGAATTGCAAAGACAGCAGAAAACTTTCGTGCTCTGAGCACTGGAGAGAAAGGATTTGGTTATTAGGGTTCCTGCTTTCACAGAATTATTCCAGGATTCATGTGTGGGTGGTGACTTCACGTGCCACAAAGGCCCTGGCGGCGAGTCCATCTATGGGGAGAAATTCAATGATGACAACTTCATCCTGAAGCACATGGGTCCGGGCATCTTGTCCATGGCAAATGCTGGGCCAAACACAAACGGGTCCCGGTTTTTCGTCTGCACTGCCAAGACTAAGTGGCTGGGTGGCAAGCACGTGGTCTTCAGGAAGGTGAAAGAGGGCACAAACATGGTGGAGGCCATGGAGCGCTGCGGGTCCAGGAATGGCAAGACCAGCGAGAAGATCACCATCACTGCCTGTGGACAGCTGTAATGCGTGTGACTTGTGTGTATGGCCACCACCAGATCAGACCATTCCTCTAGCTCAGGAGAGCACCTTGCACCCTCCCTGCCCAAAAATCCCTTCATCTCTGCTCTTACCGCAGTTCTTTGGGTTCCATGTTTTCCTTGCTCCCCTCCAAATGTACCTGGATTGCAGAGTAAAGTTTATGGTCATAAATAAAGCTAAATAATGGTTTAAAAAATTAAATGGGGGCTGGCCAAATAGCTCAGTGGATTAAAGTGCTTGCAAGCAGGCACAGGGGCTGGGGGTTCAATCCCTCAGGCTGCTGTGCCGGCCCCACACCCCAGGAGCACTGAGATGGCGTTTGAGACTGGGCGTGGTGACGCACACCTGTAATCCCAGCTCTTGAGAGACTGTAAACAGGTGGATCACTATGAGTTCGATCTAGTAGTGAGACCCTGAACATTCTGTAGACCCTTCCCTAAAATACAATAAATAAATAAATAAAGTAAAAAATAAAAAAAATTAAATGAACTTTAACACTATTAATAAAAGAAAAAAGAGAGGAAATAGGGCCCCCTGCCAGCAAATGACATAATCTATTATCTCTGATGTTATTCAAACTCAACATATTATTTGACTTATACGATTTTTCTCTCAGTCAAAGGTCATCTCCTTACCTCCATCATTTTTATTTATCAACAACTCTACCTGCCCCTCACATGTGATATAAAAATGTACAAACTGGTCAATGGAGTGATCCAACTCCATTCATAACCTGCGGAAGAGGGTATGCTTC